AAGAATAAACTCAAAATGGATAAAGGACTTAAACATAAAATGGGAAACCATAAAAATCTTAAAGGAATCCACAGGCAACAAAATATCAAACATGGGCAATGGTTCTCAACCTGTGGGTCGCGACCCCTTTGGGGGTCGAACGACCCTTTCACAGGGGTCACCTAAGACCATCGGAAAACACATATATAATTACATATTATTTTTGTGATTAATCACTATGCTTTAATTATGTTCAATTTGTAACAATGAAATTGGGGGTCACCACAACATGTGGAACTGTATTAAAGGGTCACAACATTAGGAAGGTTGAGAACCACTGTTCTAAGGCAATGGAAACTAAGGAGAAAATAAACAAATGGGACTACATCAAAATAAAAAGCTTCTGCACAGCAAAAGAAACCATCAACAGAACAACAAGAAAGCCCACTGCTTGAGAGAACATATTTGCCAATGTTATCTCCAAGAAGGGTTTAATCTGCAAAATTTACAGGGAACTCATACAACTTAACAAAAGGAAGATAAACAATCCAATCAAAAAAGGGGCAAAGGACCTCAATAGACACTTTTCGAAAGAGGACATACAGAAGGCCAAGAGACATATGAAAACGTGCTCAAAGTCACTAATCATTGGAGAAAAGCAAATCAAAATGACAATGAGGTACCATCTCATACCTGTCAGAATAGCTGTCATCAACAAATCAACAAAGAACAAGTGCTGGCAAGCATGTGGAGAAAAAGGAACCCTATTGCACTGCTGGTGGGAATGCAGACGGGTGCAGCCACTGAGGAAAACAGTATGAAGTTTCCTCAAAAAGTTAAAAATGGAACTCCCATTTGACCCAGTAATCCCACTTCTAGGAATATATCCCAAGAAATCAGAAACACCAATCAGAAAGGATATATGCATCTGTATGTTCATAGCAGCACAATTCACAATAGCTAAGATTTGGAAACAGCCTATGTGCCCATCAGCAGATGAATGGATTAAAAACTGTGGTACATCTATACAATGGAATACTACTTTGTAAAAAAGAAGGAACTCTTACCATTTGCAACAGCATGGATGGACCTAAAGCAAAATAAGTGAAATTATGCTAAGCGAAATAAACCAGTCAGAGAAAGATAAATATCTCATGATCTCACTCCTTTGTGGAATAAAATGAACAACATAAACTGATGAACAAAAATAGATCCAGAGGAAAAAATATTTTAGACTATAATAGAAATAATCCTGTTATTTGCAGTTTTTAATATTTCCTACAACTTTTGTGATATTATACTATGTTAGTACAGTTTTGGTAATATTATTATATTTAAAATCTTTTTCTTGAAATATTAATTTTTCTTGCATGTAATTTATAATAATAAAAGCATAATATGCTAATTAGACTGAACAGCCAAATGACCTTCCAGATGTCATTCCGGACGTCCTTCCAGATGACCTTCTGGATGAAGCTGCAGCGGCGGGGGCCAAGGCAGAGGCGATTAGGGGTGATCAGGCAGGCATGCAGAGTGGTTAGGGGTGATCAGGCAGGCAGGTGAGCAGTTAGGGGCAATCAGACAGGCAGAGGCAGTTAGAAGCCAGTGGTCCTGGATTGCGAGAGGGATGTCCGACTGCCTGCGGATCAGGCTTAAAGCAGCAGTCGGACATCTCCTGAGGGGTCCTGGATGGCGAGAGGGTGCAGGCCAGGCTGAGGGGACCACCCCCCGCCACTGGTGCATGAATTTCGTGCACCAGGCCTCTAGTATTATTATATTTAAAATCGTTGTTCTTGAAATATTAATGTTTATTGCATGTAACATTATTATACTTAAAATCTTTTTTCTTGAAATATTAATGTTTATTGCATGTAAAATTATTATACTTAAAATATTTTTTCTTGAAATATTAATGTTTATTGCATGTAACATTATTATAATTAAAATCTTTTTTATTGAAATACTAAAAAATACTCTTAAAAAAGAAACAACAGGCTCGGTTGCTCACGCCGGCTGGTGGCCGAGCTGCAGGACGCCCTGGACACCTGTGCCGAGCGGCAGCGGCAGCTGGAGCAGAGCCTGCGGGTCTCCCGGAGGCTGCTGCGGGCCTGGGAACCAGCGGAGACCCCGACTCCGGAGCCAACCCCAGGTCCAGAAACGAATGAAGAGGCCCCGTCTCCAGGTAAACCTCAGCCACCCAGCTCCAAGTGCTGCCCCTAGCCTGCCTTCTGCATGCAGCGGTAAGAAGGACAGTGGTGACGGACCGCTGTATTGGCTTCCACAGCATGCACACCCAGCCCCCAAGACCTCAAGGAGCTGGAGCTTCTAACCCAGGCACTGCAGAAGGCTGTACACGTGCGAAAAGGCATATCTAAGGCTGGAAAAAGAGACAATGCCTCCAGCCTAAAGTCTGGGTCCATTGCCACTTCGGCTACCACAGCCGCTGCCCCACACTGGGCTTCTCAAACAAAACTCCCCAGGGGCACCCGCCAGGCCACCAGGCCTGCCAAGGGCCTCCCTAAGCCTAGGCTTCTGTCCGCGGGGGATCAGACCTGTGCAGGGAGAGGGCCCCTAGCTGCCAAGCCTGGACCCGGCCTCAGGGACCCACAGAAAGCTCCATCGGCTGCTCCTCAGGCCCCAGAAGCCTTCACACTCAAGGAGAAGGGGACGCTGCTGCAGCTGCCCATGGCCTTCAGGAAGGCGGCTTCTCAGAACTCCTGCCTGTGGGCCCAGCTCAGCTCTACACAGACCAGCGACTCCATGGATGCCACTACGTCCTCTAAAACCCAGTTCCTCCAGAAAATGCAGGTGACTTCAGGCTGGCCTAGCTCCAGGCTCAGTGCTGCAGAGGTGGAGGCAGAGGTAGGGCGCCTGCAGAAGGCTTGCTCGCTGCTAAGACTGAGAATGGAGGAAGAGCTCACAAGAGACCCCAAGGACTGGATGCAGGAGTACCGTGGCCTGCTCACCTTGGAAGGGCTACAGGCCATTGTGGGGCAGTGCCTCCACAGGCTGCGGGAACTGCAGGCAGAGGAGAGTGGCAAAGAGGTGCCTGGCTGTCACCCCAGGAGGCCACATTCCACCGTCCTCACAGAAGTGGTGGAACAGCAGCTGGGGCCCTGGCCTGAGGAGAGGCCCCCCATGGCCTCATTGCCTTGCGGAGGAGGAGCAGATCCCACCTGGAGCCCCCAGCTGCTTCTCTACTCCAGCAAGCAGGAGCTGCAAACCCTGGCAGCCCTCAGGCTTCGGGTGGACATGCTGGACCAGCAAATCCACCTGGAAAAGGTCCTGATGGCAGAACTTCTCCCCTTGGTGAGCATGCAGGAGCCACTGGGAGCGCCCCAGCTGGCGCTTTGCCGGGCTGTGCACAGCCTACTCTGTGAGGGAGGCCAGCGCTTCCTCACCATCCTTCGAGATGAACCTGCTGACTGAACCCTTCCTGTGACTGGGCAAGCTGGTTCTGGGTCTACTGGGAGAGCACCCCTTCTCTGGTCAGAGTTAAATGAACAGGAATTGAGGGGATTCACCGGTGCAGTGGCCTGGCTTGAGATGGCTGTACTCCCCTGGAAAACCAGGTTTCTAAGGGGAAGGAATGGACCCCTGGCTCTTCCTGAGGAACTAGGTCCCTTCTCATAGCTGCTAATCCTGGTCAGGGCTCAGCTGGGCCCTCCACAGGCTGGGGGGAACAGAGGCCAATGGGGATTTTTCTTAGTTACCTCTATTTTCTCTCACTTTAGACTTAAAAAGCTGCTTGTGTGACATTAAAACTACTTTAGAAATTAAAAAAAAAGAAAAAAAAAAGAAAAAAAAAAAAAAGAAACAACAAAAAAACTTAAACAGAATTATCCTGAGACCAAGCAATTCTACTCATCCACTCCAAAGTCTTTGAAAACGGTTGTACTAAAATGTTCATAGCAGCACTATTTACAATGGCCAAGAGTTGAAAAAACCCAATGTCCATCAACGATGAATGGATAATAAAATGTGGTATATCCATATAGTGGGATATTATTCAGTAATAAAAGGAATGAAGTGCTGTAACATGTTACAGTGCAGATAAATCTTGAAAACATTCCGCTAAGTGAATGAAAGGAGTCCCTCTCTCCCACTCTCCACTTCCTTCCCTTCCCACTTGCCCATGTGGCCCAGCTCCCATATAGTGATGGAGCCCAGGCCACATGTAGAGGCCCACTAATCGCCAGATGTGAGAGAGAACAGGGACTGGCGGAGGGGCACAGACCAATCTGGGTGTGCTGCACTCTGATTTGTTGGGACGTATGACACAGCATCATTGTCCAAACCTGAGATTTTCAACCTTTTTCATCTCATGACATACATAAACTAATTACTAAAATTCTGCAGCACATAAAATATATATATAGTTATAATTTTGATTCATTTACACTGGATGGCTATTTTGTTCCCTGTTATTTTAAAATCTGACATTCTAAGGAAAAAGAGGTCAGTGCCTCTAACTAAATAGTCAGGTAATGCATGTTTTAAATATTCTTGTGGCACACTGGCTGAAAATCGCTGGTTTAAACCATGATGTTTTGAGAAAATTTGCTCTTCACCAAAAGTTAACCAACATGCAGCCCTCCTCATCTTCCTCTCCTTCCCAAATAACCACTGGCTCCAGGGCCCTGGATAGCTTCCCTCATGTGCCTCTTGGCCCCCACTTCTCTCCCTTCCTGTCTTTTAAAAAAAATTTTAAAAAAATTTTTCTTTTAATTGTGTTTTCTCTCTAAGACCAGCCTTAAGTGCAATTTCCTTCTGGGGAAGGGAAGTCAGAGACATCTGTGTGATCCTGTGTCCTTCCTGAGCTCCAGGAGCCCCCTCAGAGCCAGTGACCATGGGAAGAAACCACATCAGAGATGCCGATATCACCAGGTGTGTGCAGCACTGCCCACCTGTTGGAGGTGCTGCTCCTATGACCAGGGGCAGGTGAGACACGAGGGCAGAGAAGGGCAGCTGGATTGGGCCTGCTGCACCAACAGGCTGCCACCTCCACCTGGAAGGCATACCTTTGTCCAGCACAGGGCCAAAGATGGCCAGGCTGTTGTTGATGGTGGTGCAGTTCCACCTGCGGCCACGGAACTGGTGCTGGCACTCCTCAATGCTGATCCTGACGCCCTCTGCCACGCTGGGCATGATCTCCACGTAGTTCCGACAGAAGCGCAGCTGTTTGGGTACTAGGCCTGGGATGCTGGCACAAAGGATGGGCTGTGTGCCCAGGGACGAGTACTGGGGCCCGACAGCCAGGGACCTGGGGGAGAAGGGCAAAGAGGCCTGGTGAGTGGGAGAGCTGCCCTGGCAGCCTTTGAAACAGGAGCAGAAGCTGGGTCTGCCCTGGAGGGAGTATGAAGGTCCTTTTCTTTGGGGCACTTGTGCATTCCAGGGTGAGATGTGCTTCCACCCTGGAGGTAGCTTGTCCTTACACTGTGCCTGAGATTTAGCACAAAACCTCAAGATGTGCCTGTGGAGTGGTGGGGAGTAAATCAAGGAGGGATGGAGGCCACTTGCTGCCCAGAGGAGGGGCTGCTGGTTGGGGGCAGGAGTGAGGGTAAGGTGGGCACAGCAGTGGCTGAACCACAGCTCCTCCCCGCCCCCCACCCCCGGGCCAGCCCCACAGAAGTAAAAACATGTCCCAAGGAAGATGTGCTCAAGAACATTCACAGGACTGTGAGCGTGCACGCAGACAGGAAGCACTGAGAGTGCAGCAGGGAGGTGTGGCTACAAGACAGAGCTTCTGCAGGGGAATCCCCTGGGAGACAGAGGAGTGAGAGCAGCAGAGAGGCCTGACAGATGCCTGAGTTCCATTTCTCTAAGACAAAAGCTGACCAAACCATGGATGGAATCAAAAACCAGAGAGGTGATTTCCACATGCACACGGGGGGGCGGGAGGGTGGGGGGGCGGGACGGGCCTGACTGGGGCAAAGAGAAGCGTTTCTCAGGCTGCAGAATGGTCCCCTCTACCCACAGGCACCTGACTTTTAATGAAGTAAAATGACATAAAAAGAGAGAAAACTTTGTTTCTCAGTCACACCAGCCACATGTGGCCCAAGGCTACCATGGTGGAGGGTTACCTATGGGACATTTCAGAGCCTGTGGAGAGTTCTACTGGACCACAGGGGATGAGGGTGACAGAGTGCTCTGTGTTGATGGGGGAGTTGACTACACATGTGTTTGTGTGTCAGACTGATTGAATCATTTTCATTTTACTGTACATAATTGTACCTTGGTTTAAAAAAATGACCAGGTCCTCTTGGCAGGAGGAGTGAGAGTTTATTTAATCCGGCAGGTGATACACAGTCCTGCTACCTGTGGACTTATCGTTTCCATAGTGGGTACTCCACCATCCTGCCGCCATGAACATGTCCATCTCCACAGTGGTTCCTGTGGTCCTGCCATCTGTATACGCATCCATTTCAGTAGTGGGTGCCCGCTATCCTGCCACCTGTGGATATGTCCATCTCTGCAGCGGGTGCCCTATGGTCCTGCTGCTCATGGACGTGTTCATCTCTGCGGTGGTTGGTGGCACTTATAGGCAGAGCTCTGCATCTCAGTACCTCCTTCATGCTTGTGAATGGTGCCAGGCTGTGCAATCTTCTCTTCCATCAGCTGCCGATACCACTGAGGGTCTGCAGGGTCTCTGGGAAAGGGCTGTGGAGACCTTCAGGTTGGTGGGGGAGGCCCCAGATCCAGGAGCACTGCTGGGTGGGAGATTCTAGGGGACCAACAACCATGGCTTCTGAATGCACCATCATCATCAAAGATCGGCTGTCTCTTAGCATAGAGGTACCCATGCTCACTCAGGCCATGGGCTGTGCATACTCTGTCCTCTTTCTCCTCAGGGAGCCCAGTCCCTCCTTATTCTGGACTGTGTGGTGCAGGGTGTCCCAGGCCCAGGTCCAGAGCAGCCCCTGGGTCCTTGCTTATCTGGGAGCTTGCTAGCTGGGCTCCAGGTGGGAAGGCCTGTTTCTCCTTCCTTGTTTGGTGCGACTGAGGAAATGGCAGCTTTATTAATGCCTCAGCCAGAACTCCTAGGGCTTCTTCTTATTCAGTACCTCCTCTCCCCTGGGAGGGCTGAGCCCCGAGAAGATGGGACAAGGCTTCTGTGTCCCTCATTACCCACATTATGATACTTGTATTTGGTGAGTCCTACTCTAAGTAACTCAGTTCCATCTAGCTCTGATGAGAGCAATCGAGGACAGAAACAAACCTGCTCTCTGAAGTAGGAAGCGGACCCTATCATGTTTCCCACTCCCGTCTCCAAAATCTTCAAAACCTTCTCCTTGCCTGAGGCACAAAGCCCGTGCCCTTGAGCTCCTGAGTGCCTGCCGCCTGATTGGCTCAGAGAACATTTCCTCATTGCACAGTCCTGCTAGGGTCTGGATCTCTCCAGCTCCTTCCTCTCACACCATGGGGCCCTGCACTCCGGCCACACCAGCCTCCCTACACACTCCCTGTTTCCTGCACAGAGCTTTCTCCCACTCATGCAGACTGCCACACAGAACACCCTCTCTCTCCTGCAGACCCCTGCTCCTTGCCCCTCGGCAGGCAGCATGTATACAATTCCATCTTATTTACTTCACCAGCTGCAGATGGAGGCTGGAGAAAGGGCAACTTCTCCTTGGAAGTCCTGAAAGTCCTGAATGCAGGGTTTCACATGTATGACATCCTCTCATCCCATGCCCTCCTGCCCAAACCCCTCAACAGCCTGTGTGTTCCCACCATTCCTGGGCACTCTCCCTTCCTCCAGATCATGTGCACTTCTCAGGGGTCAAACCTGTCTTCTTCAAGAGTGCCAACCCACCCTGCAGTCAGATGTCCTAATGAAGCCAAGCTTCCTTCCCATCGGTGCTGGCCCCCGTGTCCCTGAGCCTGGGAGTGGTCTGGCACTTCCAAACCAGACTTCTAGTCCCTTGCATGTCCCCGCCCTAATATTCCAGAGCACTCCCCATCCTGCCCATTATTTGCTCGAAAGCCACAAACCAGCCATGACTTCGTGCCAGACACCACAGGCCTCCCCTCATCTCCATTTGAATCTGTTTCCCTGGTGTGGTGTGCAACGGTGGGGCTGGCTCATTCATTCACTCGTTGTGAGCCTCAGTGAATGCCGAGCCCTGGGCCAGGCCTGACTCTCAACTGCTCATAGTCCCAGGATCCCAAAGTTTCCAGAAAGGCCAGCCCTCTGCTCTCACTTTACTGTTTGGTCTTCTCTTGGAAGCATCCTGTAACCTGCTCCTGGCTCTCCTACACCCTTGCCCTGCATGGATGGGCTGTCTCCACTATTCCTCTGAGACCCCTGTGCCAACCTGGTACTTGGCTTCCTGATGGATAAGCAAGGATCAAGTGGACAGATGGCAGGATGCACTGAGGTCAGCTGTCTCTGCCCTCGGAAGCAATCAGTTGGTTAGGGTAAGGCCTCCAGGCTGAGAAGTGGGCCTGGCCTGGCTCCAGGACAGGGCAGGGATGGGTGGACAAGAGGAGACAGTGGTGGGAGACAGTCTGTAGCTAACCTGCACACCCCCTGCCTCTCTTGGCCACTTGGAAACAGAGAACCATAAAGAGAATGTGCAGTGCCCAAAGCCCTGGTTATCCTCACAACCTCCACTTCCTGTCCAGTCCACTCAGTCAGTTTTTACAACACCCACCTACCAGATGCCTTGTCCCGGCCCCAGGGACTGCGCAGCCTGTGTAGACTCTGTGTGTGAATGGCTCTTCCTGCCCCAGACTGAGGTTTGCGTCTGTTTCTGAAGCTTGGTGTCCCCACTTCTGACCACACCTGGTAAGAAGCAGGTGCCGGGCTCCACATCAAGGACTAGGGACCAAAATCCTCTTTGTGGCACATCCACCAGGCGCATGCCCACCCGCACTGGGCACTAGTGGGATTGACCTGAAACCACAGCACCAGGGGTGGGGGTGACACCCTCTGCAGTGATGGTGAGATGCAGGTGTAGAGGCCCCGGGAACCGTGTGGCTGGCTGATTGTCCATCAGGAAGCCAGGTGGGGAGAGGAGCACGGTGGCTCCGGCTTCTTCAGCAGCTTCCACAGGCCTCCTGTCGGGGAGCCCATCTCTCACTAGAAGGAAAATTCATGTCGATGTTGACTTAGAGTCTCAGACAGAAAGACAAGATGACTCCATCTCTCTGTCTTTGCCAGTCTCAAGGTGCTGGCCCCTGCCAGATGTGAGGCCAGGATGTATTCTGTGTGGGGGTACAGGAGGGGCAAGGCACTAACCCCAGAACCCCACAGCTCCCACACCTCCCACAGAGCCTGCACCACCTCGGCCCTTCCCATCTTCCTTCTTGCCTACAAGCCAAGGCCAGGGCAGAAAGATTGGACCCACCCTGCTTCCTTCACACCCCAGGACTCTGCTCTAGGGGAAGCAGAGAGGGTCTCTCAAGTTAATAGCCTCTCCCAAGTTCATTTCTGGGGGTGCTAAATCAGCTCCCACCTGCCTCCTCCGGGCTCTCCTCTGGGCAGGCCCGGGCTCGTCACCTCCCTGAGTGAGGCCAGGATGCCAATGGCCGCCAGCCCAGATGCCGCTCCAGCTGCTCCAGCCTCCACCAACCCTAGCAGGATCCCTCTCCCACCCCTTTAATTTCTTGAATTACTTCCAGGAAGGTTTTTCTGCTCAAGAACCGGGTGACTAAGGGGGTCTGGGCAATGCAGACCCTGTCTGAGGAAGACTGAGAGCAGAGGATAGAGCGTGGGGGGGGGGCAGGTTGGGGGTGTCCCTTTCTACAAGGGCAGGGGATGTTGAGCAGGAGGAGGGCAGGAGAGGGCCAAGAGGGCTAATTGGGCCACCAAATGTTGGCTAGGTCTTAAAGGATAAATTGAACCATTAAAAAATCATATAAAAAATCCAATACGTTCACTAACCTTATGTGAGCGTATCATTTCACAACATCTACATTATCAAATCTTTGCACTGTACACCTGAACCTCACACAATGCCATGTGTCACCTGAATCTCAATAAAGCTGGGAAAGCATCCACACTGCACACACCCAGGACCCAGATTTCTCACCGAGGAGAAAGTAGATGTCCCTAGGCCCGTGGTTGGCAAACTGCAGCTCAAGAGCCACATGCGGCTCTTTGGCCCCTTTGAGTGTGGCTCTTCCTAAGCCTTAGGAGTACCCTAATTAAGTTAATAACAATGTACCTACCTATATAGTTTAAGTTTAAAAAATTTGGCTCTCAAAAGAAATTTCAATCGTTGTACTGTTGATATTTGGCTCTTTTGACAAATGAGTTTGCAGACCACTACCCTAGCCAATCAATAATTGGAAACCAGAGTCTATAACTCCCTCCCCCCACACACTTCCAGGCGGAAGTGGGAGGCTCTGGGCGGGGCTGAGGGCTAGATGGGAAGGTGGGGAAGAGCCTCCACCTGCAGCAGTGGCTGTCTGGGGCTCAGTCTCCTGGGACTGCCATGTACTGGCCTCTCCTAAGGACTAGAGGCAGCACAGAATGGGATGGGGTAGGAAAAAAACATCCACAAGAGACTGGTGACGTTGGCCATGTGTGGCTAGTGGCACTGCACAGGACGGGCTCTCCACCTGACAAACGTGCCCCTTATACAAGATGTGAGCATGAGGGGAAGTGGACACAGCGTGGGAATGGGTGGTAGAATTCATCTTGAATCAAGAGAAGACACAGTTATGAGGAAGCAGCAGACTGACTGCAGCCGCAGCACAAGGCTGTGATTCGGGAGCGAGCCTGTCTCTTTGTTGAGCCGACGCCTGGGCTGAGAGTGCCAATGCATTCTGTACTCTCTGGCTCCACCATCATCTGAGATGAAAGTGTCTGCTTTCTCCTGGTGAATCTGGCTCAGAAACTGCCAACAGTGCTGCAGTTTGCCACCGTGTTCATAGTTGAAGGTGAGCCCAACTGCGGTTTGTGGTGGGTGCAAATAGAGATGCCATCTCCTGTCCCAGAGGCTGGCACTGAGGCTACTCCGAGTGTTTGTGGGGGGTTGCGTGCTGTGGGAAGGCAGGGCGTGGCTCCTCCTGCCTCACCACCCACTGAGCCTAGACCAGGGGTGGGCAAACTTTTTGACTCGAGGGCCACAATGGGTTCTTAAACTGGACCGGAGGGCCGGAACAAAAGCATGGATGGAGTGTTTGTGTGAACTAATATAAATTCAAAGTAAACATCATTACATAAAAGGTATGGTCTTTTATTTCAATAGTTTTATTCCGGGCCGTAGTTTGCCCACGGCTGGCCTAGACTCTACTGTGGCCCCAAGAGCCCCCACCCTGCTGCCCCGACTGTGATAGACAGCAGATCACAATAGCTGTATCGGCAGGACCTGTGGTGGAGAGTGGATGTCAATCAGAGCCCACCACGAGTTGTTTTCACAGCACAACCTCCAGCTGGGGGTGAAGTCAGCGCCCTCTGGAGCTGCTGAGGGTCCGAGATGGAGGGGCCAGAAAGTGGCCCCTAGGAGCTACAAACCACAAGACCGACAGCTGCCAGTACATGGAGACTGGGTCCCCTCACCACAAGGGCCTGAGTTTGACGGCTAGATGAGGTTGGGAGCATGTTCTTCCCAGACTGGCCACTTTGATTTTGGTGTCATGAGACCCTGAGCAAGAAACCCTGACAAACTACCCAGCTTCTGACCTGAACTAATGAATGGGTGCCACCTGAAGCACTGAGTCTGGTCACTTGTTACACAGTATAGACTGGTGTACCCTGACTCCTCCTCGGCTCACAGGGTGCTTCTCTCTCAGACCTTGAGACAGAACCTCATGGGCTGATAGGCCTTCCATGTGTAGCTTGAGGGTCCATGCCAGTGCCACTTTCACCAGCCAGTCATCAAGATCTTTAGATAGCTCTTCCAGCTCTTCACCTCAGCCAGCACCACCTCTCCCCGCAGCCCGGTGCCCTTCTCTCTCAGAGGGTGGTTATTGCTTCCTTCCAAACCCCTGGCATTGCTTGGGCCTCTGCCTGCAGTTAGCCACTGCCCAACCCCTTACTTGGCCCACCTGCCCTGTCACTGTCACCTCAGCCCGGCTCACTATGTGACTCCCTTCAATCTGCACAAACTATGGAGGTGGTTCCCAGGACCCTCTGTACCGGGAGGCCATGGCTCAGAGGAAGACACTGGCCAACAGATAGCTGCCTTCTCACTATGTCCTCATCTGGCAGAGAGAAGGAGTTCCTCTTCTCTAAGGACAGTGATCCTATCTCCTAACATCACATTGGGGGTCAGAGCTTCAACATGTGGATTTGGAGGACATGGACATGTAGTCCAGACAATCAGTATGGTGTACATCATATTAGTAAACAAAACCCACCAGCCATCACTACACTCATGTGGCCCATTTCCATCATGGAACCGTCATCAAGGGGGAACCCGTGTGGTGGCCCCTGCCTGTCCCCTGCCTGGTTGACTTTGCCTGCAGCTAGGGAACTTTTTGTGCTTTGGTTTCCCCATCTGACACACCAGGTGGCTGGGTGAGAGCTGGGTCCTCCCAGGGTGACCCTGACTTGACAGCATGCACAGCACAGGACCTGTTAGAAACTCGAGTTCCCTGAGCCTGCTGAGTCAGAAACTTGCCCTGGGACAGGGGTTCTGATTCTGGGTAACTGAGGGTGTGTCCAGCTCTGAGTGTGAGGTTGCAATGCCTCCCTGTTGGCAAGGAGACCCCTTGAGAGGCCTCTTCAAGTCCAAACCCTTGGGTCTGGCAGCCAGGTTTCCCTCTGGTTTCTGCTTCCGGACCCCAAGGCTTCTGGGGATGTCCAATGCCACCTCAGTCAGACCCAGGAAGGCAGCATCTGACCCGGTCAGGAGTGGGGCAAGACATGAGCCCTTACCCCCTACAGCCCCATCCATCTCCACGAGGCGCCATTCACTTCCCTCCAGCCCAGTGACCCAGAACCAGAGATGAGCATGTGACCAGGGCCCGGCCCACGTGTCCCTTCAGAGGCACCAACAGAAGGAGGCGGAGCCAGTGGTGAATGTTCCAAAGCCATGACATGGGAAGGGCGATGCCTGAGGGGAAGTGACAGCCTGCTCCCCAGCCTGAGGAGACAAACTGGAGACTCTGTCCAGCAGTAATGAGAGGGGCTCTTGGGAGGGGCCTCAGTCAACCCGAGCCCACGCTGAGCTCTCACCTAGAGCCTGGGTGGCAGGTTGATCCTCCAGTCTCCCCTGAGCCCCTTATGCACTGCACAAAAACGCAAATTGGGGTCACTCACAGGAGTAATGACAGTGTCCAGGTGAGCACTGGCGGTGGGACCCTGAAATCTATTACCCCTTTTTTAATCCAGGTCACAGCAAGGTCTTGACCCTACCTCAGGGGTACCATGTATTTCCTCCTCCTCATGGCCTTTGCTACAAAAGGATGTTTCAGCCGATGGCCACTTTGGGGGTTGGCCAGCCCTTCCCTGATGGCCCCTGGGATTGTGGCCCTGGGAACAACAGGGACATGAGGGCCTGCCCATCCTGAGGAGAGGACTGAAGGCCACCTGCCCTCGCTTCACCCATTTCCTCTACCTGCTCCTGGCCACGTGATTCACCCTTGCATTTCCCTTCCTCTGCCAACCCTGAGGTGCAGGATGGCATCCCAGGAGGGGCCCACACATTAGCAGAATTTTAGCTGCCCAGCTGGACATCACACCCCGATGTCCCACAAGCCTCTCAAAATCAGTGTCCTACACTGAATTCACCCCCAGATGCGTCACTCTTCCTCCTCCTGGCCCCCGAGTTCTGAGCCTTTACCCTGGATCCCAGCTCAGGAGAGACCCTCCCTGCAGGAGTGTCCACACAGCAGAAAGGGCCCACAGTCAGACATAGCACATCCATACCACAGACCTGAGTAACTGCTCTCACCATCACTCAGAAGGCCCAGAGATTCCAAAAATGCTCAATGGACAAGGCAAGCCTTGAAATGCAGAACACAAACTGCTCCGTGCAGTTTTTACAACCAGGAAAAATGTGTGAGTGAAATGAAAAGAACCCGCAGTATTAAGTCGGTGGGATGGCAAAGTTGTCTTTTTTCCAAGATGGGGGGTGTCACCTTCAGCCCAGAATACACCACGTGCAAAGTGGCCCCTAGGCTTGGTTCCACTTGTGACTGGGGCCATGTGAACCACGGCTGCGCTAGCACTGGTGGTTTTCCTCCTTCCTCGCTCACTCCTGTTGAAGACGACACTGCAGAGGCTGGGCGCCTTGCCAGACTGTCTTACTTGGAATAGAGGCGGCACTGGCTGTGACATGCAGGGGGGCAGGCTGTCCAGAACCCAGTCTGGCTGATGGCCTTCGCCGTGTGGACTTTACCATGATTTTGTGGTGGGGCCAGAGGAAGAAGAGGCTGGGCAGAGGCATAAATTCCCAGTCAGAGAGGCTGGCTCTGTGCACTGTCCAGGCGGGTCTGGATGGGCGGCAGGATCTCAGGTGAGCATTTTGCGAGCTCTGTAGGTGGGGCCTCTGCTGGGCCTGCAGGGCAGGATGTGGGCCACGTTCTATCTGAGGCTCCCAGAGGGAGGTGAGCAGTGGGGACGTGTGTCCTTATACCTTGGCGTCCCTAGGGCACATTCAACCCCACATCATTAGGCCACCTCTTCCAGGAAGCACCCTGTGCCCCAGCCCTGCTGTCTGCTTTCTTGTCCCAATGAGGCTCTCCACGTTTCTGCACGTCCTCCCATGTCTGGGCCATGAGGTGTCTCTCCCAGACGGCAAAGCCATGCCTTCTCTTGTCCTTTGAGGGCACAGAGCAGGCACAGAGTGGGCACTGAGCTCTGCCTAGGTCCCAGGAGAACAAGGAGGTCCAGTGGCCTCTGCTGTCCACCCTGTGGGGTCTCTGGCAAGAAGGGTCCTGGTTTGTCCAGGGGTCTCCTCCTTGATGACACACGAGGCCTCCAGAGCATCTGTCCTGTCGGAATTGCTGTCTTCTAAGATCAGAGCCTTCCCACAGGAGGAAGAGGGTCCTGTCCTGAGATCTGAGGCCCCAAGTGTGGGCTGGTTGCCCTGAGGATTGATGGCTGCCTGGCTTGATGGACGGGCTCTGCTCCTCTGGGTGGAACTGTTCAAGAGCCACAAGGAGCCGAGGCTCCCCGATGGGTGCAGACCTGCCTGAGGGAGAACCTCCAGGCTCTACACGCCAAGGGGACCCCAGGGAAGGCAGCATGCCTCCTCTCT